TCACATAAGCTTTAATAATGGAGCCACTATTCGTAGAGTTAAACGTTGAAATATTTAAATATATATCAACACCCATCAACATTTTAGTTACAAATCGTAAATGGTACAATATTTCTCAAGACCCCCATGCCCGAGCCGAATGGTTGATTTTTAAATATGGCAGAGCGCATGCTTTATTTCACGCCATAAGGCTCGGCAATGGCTTCATAACAATCGAAGTGATACAGGCTTTACTTTCGAAAAATGCGATACTTTCTCGATATCTTGTCCAACGTTTATTAATGCATTTTGGTAATTATGATGAGAATCTTATTAAACTTAAAGTTGAACATAATGTAAGTCAAGTTGACTTTAATAGACTTCGTGCTCTTAAAAAAAATTTATCTTCACCTTGGGGAAATAATATACCTTTATCAAGTTTTGTTAAATTAATCACTGAAGGATGTAACATTTTGAATGATCATGAACTTGCAGCTAAAGGGAATTATTCCATTTTCTGACAGCTGGTCCCCTTATTATTAATTTAGCTCCCCAAAAACTTCATCAAAATCTTGAATCAATTAAAGATTTAATTTTAAAAAAAAAGTTTATCCCTTTTCCTCCAAATCCAAAACCTAAATATGAAGATACAATAGAATACGTTCAATTGATGCAAGTTAGAGCTCTTGAAGAATATCCACCAAAAGATGGTTATGAGAATAGTCGTCAACTTAATGTAGTGGCTAGAGCAATACTAATTCATCCTGATTTAGTAACTTTGTGGAAAGAAATCGGGTATTATGAAATTTGTAATGATGTCAATGAACTTGTAATACAAGGCGCTCTCTTGATATTTTTTCCTCCTTCTCCACCGAATAATTGGGAAAGTCCTAATGTAGACATTATTGTTGCTCGTTTAAAGCATCTTATTGATCTGGGATTTCAATTAACCGATAGCGTTATAGAAGAGGCATTTCATTTATTTGAACATAAATTAAATGAGATTGGTGATCTCTTAATGAATTCATTTCAAGTAATCCGTAAAGAGTCAGAATCGGATCTTGCATCATCTTGTCTTATTCATGCAATTAAACCAGAAAGAAATCTTAAGAAAACTGTTTTGTTAGAATTTTTAATTAGCAAAATCGACCAACCTAGCGAAGCACTAAAAAATGCATTAGATCATTATAATGTCGGATTCAAGTTTAATGATAAGACAATTAGAACAACTAAGGAAATCAGATCATTAAGTGTCCAATCAAATTTCTATTATTGGATACTTAAAAATTGTGATCCAAATTCTGAGATTACACGGAAATGTTTTGATGACATTTTTGAATCACGAATTTGGATAGACCTAAAAGTGCAGGAAACTCCCGAAAGGAATGCTCCGAAACATCTTACTTCTAGTTCTTTTAATTCTATTTGTTTTATTTATCTTGAATTTTGTAATGGAAAAGTTCCATTCAATCAAAATTGTTTGCAATATTT